TCTTTCTTTGTGTGTGTGTGTGTGTGTTTGATTGTTTGTCTGTTGGTTGGTTTTTTGTTTGTATGTTCTGGATCTGATGCGCTGCCAAATGCGGAAAGGGACACTATTTGAAAATAAGGAGACGGACGCATTAAACATAGATTAGAATGTAAATGGACTGCAGATAGACAGTTGCCTTTGCTCACAAAAAAGGCTTATAGATTAGTTATTTCAAAATGAAATGGAGGTTATGCATACATGCATATATAAAGAAACGAACGCACCCACGCCTCGCACGCGTACACGTACGCACATACACACACGCACACGGACACACGCACACGCACACGGACACACACACACACACACACACACACACACACACACACACACACACACACACACACACACACACACACACACACACACACACACACACACACACACACACACACACACACACACACACTCACTCACACACCCGCGCGCGCGCGCACTCTGTTTATTATGTTTTCTGATTCACTACGGGTAGAGTAAATTGAAATTGAAAACAGCGCTGCACATTTCTGCAATTTGCCAGACAGGATGACATATTAATGCTAAAATAAGTTTCAAAATGTAACGTATATTCTTATTGATATTATGTTATCTTTCGTATGATTTTCAGCGAGGGTTGTATCGTAAAACAGTAAAATCATCAAGTTAATTGCTTCCCTTTAATGAGAACCGTTATTGTTGAGTGTTGGTGAGCAGTTAGCGTAACTTTTAAAAGGTTCAAAGTAACTTTATGAAGTTAGTTCTCTAAACTTATCAAGGCATCTCCAACAGCGAGCGACGTCAAGAGTGCTTCTTTGGATTAAGTTTCTTTTTTCTCTTGTGTTATCAATTAATGATGTAAACTTTTGCTTTTAGAAAGGCTCCTTGTATACCTGACTTGGGTTATGTAAAGAAATATTTTATTTTTATTTTTTTGATTTGTTCTTGTTCTAAGGAAGAAGGCAATGTGCCGTTCTCCGAAGCGGAACTCTTTAACAGCGAAAATGAATAGATAAAACCTCTCCCTTCGATCCTTCACCGCTGGGCCTCCACTCCCGAAGCTGCGGTACTGGTGTTAAATGAACCGTGGCAAGATTGTGAATGCCCTTTTTTCTCTCCTTTCCCCGAAAATCTCTCGAGTTTTCCGGGTGAAAAACTTGGGGAATTCGGTGAGTATTTTCGTCTGGTTGATTTGATTCGCCAAGTATTTCCATACGCGACTTTTAGTTTTCATTTCGGCGCATTTTTTATTATATTCGTTTTTTTTATTTTTTTTATTCCTTATGACCGAACTTGTAGATCAATTTTCGTGACTGAATAAGCGCAAATAGTCTTTTGATGCCGTTGGTCGCCCTCGAGGAAATCAATAGTGAAATGTGGCGCCCTGCCCCCGTAGACTCGTGCAACTTGTCCTACCCTCGGTCGCGCTTCCTGTAATCGGGACCGGGTTACACGCCGAGATACAGGCGCCCCTTCGGCTTACCTCATTGATCGCTTGTTGTCGGGACTCGAGTCGTAAGAGCCATTACCCTGCCCTGTGTAACGAGGGACTCCCGCCACTCTGCCGGATTATTCCTGGCTGCTCGTTAGAGGCCCAGGAGTTGATGTGCGGATCATTATCCTTGACCCCTGGAGAAAGGGAGAGAGGGAGAAGGGGAAAGGGGAGGGGGAGGGAGAGGGAGGAAGGAAGAAAGGCGAGTAGGAGTGGAAAGAAAGGGGGGGAAGAGGAAGGAGTGGGAGTGCGAGAACGAGAGGGAGTGAGAAGCATTGAAGAGAAAAAGAGGAAGGAGATGAAAATGGAGTGGAGGAGAGAGGGGGAGGAGAAAGAGAAGGAGTGGAAGAGAGAAAGAGGGGAAGGGGGGAGGAGAGAAGGAGAGAGAGAGAGAGAGGGAAAGGGAGTGGGAGAGAAGAGGGGGAAGGAGAGGAGAGAAGAGGGGAAGTGAGAGTACAGTGAGAGAAGAGGATGTTGGAGAGCGAAGAGAAAAAGAAGGGGAATTAGAAGACACAGGGAGAGGAGACGAAAATACTTAATGCATTGTAAGGCTCTGTATTTCATTTCAAGCGATTTATTTGATCCATCCATTTATACTGACAGGGAGTGAATGCATTGTCCTTGCCATTCATAGGTTAATAGAATTTACAACGTACTCCTGACCTTTAGAAACGCGCGTCTCCACACTGCAGACGAGTCGTGTATGACTTATGAATGCAGGCTTTGTCGTCTTGGGATTTTGCTGCCGATGCGTCTGAACCGGTTAATTTCTCCAATCTAGATCACCGGTTCATTACATCGAATCCGAGCCGGTGTTCCCGTGATTTGGATTTATATTTTTTCTTACTGAAATTTGTTTCCTTCACAAGAGAATAGAGAGAGAAAGGTGAAGTGCAGATAATTAAGGACAGGGATTTCTGTTATGAATTTACTGGTTTGTATGTCTTGGTAAGTGGATGCGATTGTATTTATGGATTTTTTTTTTGCTAGGCAGATATCTATATATCTATAACATCTTACAGTTTGTATAAATGTACAGAGTATATATATATATATATATATATATATATATATATATATATATATATATATATATATATATATATATATGTATATATGAACAAATACTAAGCACATCGCAGTCTGATTAATACTGTTTGAGTGCGGATTTAGCAAGCGTTAATTGGAATTGTTGCTTAATCTGCGGGAGGGCTTTGAATATTATTAGGGCAGTTGACATCTATCACCCTTAAATCTTTTGGCTGAACTGGTAAAGGGATTTGTACTTACCTCCATTGTTCTGCCTTGTACTTTCTTTTGTGATTTGCTCTCCATGCATCGCGTTATGTTATCATATTTTCACATTTCCTCTTCCTGTTCGTTACCTTTGCACACTCTGCGTACGAGCTGGAGAGGTCCTCAGCCGGCGCGCCCTCGTTCAGCAGAGAGTTCGGCGTTCGAGCTCTTGCATTCACGCCAGGGCAGGAGTCGGCGAGGCGGGAGGGCGCGAGTCCGTGTGAAAGAGTCACTGGGCGCTTCATAAAACCTCGTCGGGACACTTATGATCGCCGGCTTTCTTAACGTCTGAGGAGGAGAGAGCGGGAGGGGATTCCCCGCCCGTTTTCTGTGCGACACAGCGCCGGCATCGTCTGTTTGTTTTTCTTTCATTTCTTTTTCTTTTATTTTTTTCTCTCTTTTCTTTCGTTTCTTTGGCGCCTTCTTCATGTTGCTAGGTTCGTTTCTTGTCATAGTGGGAGAATAGTTGTGTACGAGGTTTTTCTTTTCCTTTCTCCTTTCTTTAACAGCTAGCAACTCTATCCTACACTTAGAGTTAGGATAATCATTTGGCCACTCCATAACCCTTGGCAGTTCCCAGGTGAAAATGGCATTCCAGCGAGCATTAAAAATATTTTCCCATTGTCGGATTTCGCTCAAGGGCCGGGAGTGGTCGTGACCCATATACGTAAAACTAATAGGGTGATAATGGCCTCATTATGCAGTACTGTCAGGAGCAGCGCGCGTGGATCCCATCGTGAAGGTCAAAGTCTTATCTGCAGCTTTGCCGTTAAGAGTGTTTTTGTCGTCGATATTGTTTGTTTTGAACCTTCTGGACCTTCTGGCGGGGGAATGTGGGTAAGAGCTGTGTATATCCATGCGTGTATGACGATAGTGATGCATTGTATGGTAAACTCAATCAAGTTCTATTAGCATCGTGGTGTTTAGAGCAATATCATGTTTCGTAAAATGGATTATCGCATATTGGTTAACTGCTGATTGGCTTTGTGAACAAAAACATGATGGTGTTGTTCAAAGCTCTGCCGCTGATTAATTTTCATCGGTAACATATGATTATTGATTGCAATGATTATGTAGATTGTAAGCGTTTATTTGGAGCCGCGGATAATTGTTACCGCTTTTTGAGGAGAGTGAGTGTGGGAAAGTTTTGAATGTTTTATGGACGCTTCCTTCCGAAATAATTGTAAATTGGACATTTCATTGTTCGTTGTTTATTTAGTCGTAAATACTCGTCGGAGATGGAGATGTGATGGGGTCGCAATTATGGCTGCATACAATGTAGGAATCGACCATTTCGCTTCGCCGGAACCCAGCGTGGAGTCAGACCATTTTGTTTCGCCCGAACACGGCGTAGAAATAGACGGCTTTGTTTCACCTGAATGCGGTGTAGCAATAGTATTTGGTTTCAGTTAAATACAGAGTAGGAATAGACCGCTCTGTTTCATTTCAACACGAAGTCGGCCCAAATCATTTTGATTTATCTAAACACAGGGTTAGGATAGACTACTTTGTTTAATTAGAACACTGTCGGAATAGACCATTTTGTTTCATTTCAACATTTGACGGCCTGTATCATTTTGTTTCACCGTTTATCATCAGTAGAACTCAGTATAGGAATGGACCTTTTGTTTCACCTTATGACAGTGTATAGATAGACCATACTGTTTCACCAAAAATATGTGTAAGAATAGACCAGTTAGTCGCACCAGAATACAGTATATAGAGAGACAATGTTGTTTCACCTGAACGCAATGAAAGAATGAGTCATTTCGTTTCATATTGATGATGTAGAATGGACAATATTCAAATGCGAACTCCTATTGGGTCATCCATCTCTAGTGACGGAACATGTTCGCTTAACCTAAGTATGTATTTTAGATCCGTGATAAATCTGTATTTTTTACAGGGAAGTTGTATGGTGTCTTATTTAGTAATAATCTGTGTGAATTGTAATGGTAGTATTTTGCGTGCTGAGGGCATGTTGCTTAATCACTGATATCAAAATGAAATTCCATCTAGCGTTTATTATGTCACGCTTTTGAATTATTTTGTAATTTGACTTGATTGCAGTTCATGGAACCATTATCTCCCACTTTATTTTATTTATTTCGGGGGGCGGGGTGTGTGGGGGGTGTGGGTCGCAGTGGGCATTCCCGCGAAGCACGATGTTATAAACCCAATCTGCTTTGCTTTCCAGAACGTGCTGCGAGAGCTGGAGGGCAAGAAGCCACAGCTGGACGAGTTAGTGGCCTCAGCTGACAGCCTCAAGGATGACGCCTCCCGCACGCAGCTGCACCAGAAGAGCGACAGCAGGACACGTAGTGAGTACGTGGCACGTGTTTTCGCATTTTCGTTATCGGTTAATTGTTTTGGCACTATTACGCAATTTTGTTTATTTCGTCGGTGGCATTGTTCGAGGCCTTTATGAAAGATTTGTATTGATTTCGCTTTTTTTCGGTAGTTTGTCTGTTCGGGCTTTTATGTTTGTACAAGTTCTTATTTCTTTGTATTTTCAGTTCATCATAGATATTTATTTCCTTTGGTGTTTGTCGTGGCATGTGTGCTTTGGTGTTGTTATTATATATAAGATATACAGACTTTATATACATATTCACATGCATTTACATAAGCATATGCATATTATAAGTATATGTTTATGAATATATATATTATATGTGTTGTGTGTCTGTATATATGTATATATGATATATTATATGTATATATATGTATAATATATATATTATATATATATATATTAATGTATATATATATGTGTATATATGTATATATGTATATCTATGTATATATATATATTATATATATATATATATATATATATATATATATAATATAATTATTTATAGTGTGTGTGTGTGTGTGTGTGTGTCTGTGTCTGTGTCTGTGTCTGTGTCTCTGTGTGTTTGTGTGCGTTGGTGTGTGTGTGTGTATGTATGTATGTATGTATATATATATACACTATGTATCATGTTATATGTATATGTATGTATATATAGAGAGAGAGACATATTTATATTATATGTTATATATGAATATGTTATATATATTATATATATTATATATATATATATATATATATATATATATATTTATGTATATATATGTATATATATTCTCTCTCTCTCTCTCTCTCTCTCTCTCTCTCCTCTCTCTTCTCTCTTCTCTCTCTCTCTCTCTCTCTCTCTCTCTCTCTCTCTCTCTCTCTCTCTCTCTCTCTCTTCTCTCTCTCTCTCTCTCTCTCTCTCTCTCTCTCTCTTCTCTCTCTCTCTCTCTCTCTCTCTCTCTCTCTCTCTCTCTCTCTCTCTCTCTCTCTTTATATATATATATATATATATATATATATATATATATATATATATATTATATATATGTGTGTGTGTGTGTGTATGTGTATGTATGTATGTATGTATATATATATATGCATGTATATATATCGCACATGCGCATATTTACATCTACATTGATATGTACAGAATCTTTCCTATGTACATAATCTATGTATTCCTTGCCGTTTTATTCAGTCAGCGGAATCTAGTTACGTTACACTTGTTTAAGTTAGTTTAAGTTTGCTGTATTTAAACTATGCCGCCCAAAGTTAGGCAATATCAGTGGGGTAATGCCGGTAATGCTATAGTTCGTGCTTTTGGTGGTCGCTAATTTTATTTGATTTTAAGCTGTTACATAACGGAAATAAAAGTCATGTTGGTGGATTAGATTTATATGATTTTGGTTTGTTGCTTTTTGATAGCATCGGTTTGATAAAGAAATAAAAGATGGTTTCCGTGTGATTAATTTGAATCCTTAAAGTTGAGCATCTCCCTGGATTTTAGAACAGCCAGGTCGATGTTGTGGATGTTTTCTTCTGAGGCCGTGTTATCCTGTGATACCAATGCGGTCTTGCGGAGAAGAAAGAGGTTCCGTGATGGTGGCCAAACAGGGCTTCTTTGTATTTATTGACTCTTTCCAAGTCAGGCTCTCTTTTTTTCTCTATCGGAAAATGGGGTTTCGAGAATTTCAGTCTGTTTGTGTATTATTCATGAGCACAGGGATTTGCCCCATCGCCATGGCCACTCCTCTGATTGATGCGGTTTTTTGTTCTTTCAATTATTAACCTGGACATGTTTTAGATAGCATAATGTTGTCTTGGATTATTAACTGATGTCTGATACTTGATGGAATCTGTGTCTCGTATAGATCCGCGGGGTTAAACCGAACGAATTTCTAGCCAATGAAATGTAAAGGCTCAATTTTTCACGCCATTGGATTAGATTGCAATAAACTGTTGTCCGATATAAAAGAATGTGTAAAATAAGTCTGAGAGGGGAGAGAAAAAAACAAACATTAATGTGAAGAACGAGGAAAGGTATAAAGTTGCAAGTGTCTATGGAGCAAAGAGGGAGAAAGACGTAAGATGAGGGAGTGTCTTGGGCAAAAATAGTTCGATAAATAAAAGTGAATATCAACATGAGGGCGAGGAAGCCGGATCGACGTGAATAGACACAAGTAAATTTGAGAGGGAAGGGTCGGAGAAGGCGCAGTGTGTATCCGCCCAAGAGAAGGCTTCTGAAAAAGAGAGTTGGGCGGCGGGCAGTCTCCCTTTACACGCACACACGTCTAGAGGGGATGATGGGAATTGCGGCTGCAGACGTGGGGCGGGAAGTCCCGGGGGGTTCACAAGCGCCCGAGGATGAGGGAAGTTTGGGCATTAAGCCGCGGCGGGGCGGGGTATGGGGGTAGGGCCCGGGCATACCGCCTGTCGGGGCCGTGTCTCCGGCTGTATATTGCTCATCTCCTGCTCGTCTGGGATGCCTGTGTAACAGCCGTGTAGGTTTGTGACATATGCGTGAGTGCATGCATGAGGGCGATAAGTACAGAGGAAGGAAGGGGAATTGGGAAAAAGGGAAGGAGAAAGGTTAAAGAAAGTGGACGAGAATGTTTTTGATAGCAAACCATGGTGAGACTTTATATAATTCCAGCTATTGTTTAACCCCTCTCTTTTGTTCGTCCATTTACCCTTCCCTTTTTTCCTCCTCTATCCCCCCTTTCTCTATTCCCCCTCTCTCTATCCCCCATCCTCTCCCTATCCCCCCTCCATCTCTCTATCCTCTAATCTATCCTCCATCTCTCTATTCCCCTCCCTCTATCAATTCCCCCTCTCTTTCTCTATTTTCCTCTTTCTAGCTCCCTCTCTCTATTCCCCCTCCCTCTCTCTATTCCCCCTCCCTCTCTCCTTCGCAGGCCGGTATTACGGCGGTCTCGTCCAGTCTCGCTCATAAAAGTGGACGTCGACGACAACGGTTCCATTAGGACGTGGCAGTTAGATTGCATATTTATCGCAGCTTTGTGGTCTCCAGAGTGCGTTATTACACTTGCGCGATAATTAGCTTATTCGTTTATGGCCAAGAAGTTGTAGCCAATGGAGTATCGACCACGGCGGGCGAGGCGGTCCAGGTGCGCGAGGGGGGGGAGGGGGGAGGGGGAGGGCTTTCCGGGGCTTCGCTTTATTTTACTCCAGTTTTAAAGTGTTCGTTTATTTGATTATGATACCATGATGTAATGGTTATTATACACGCAGACGCGCGCGCACGGGACACACACACACACACACACACACACACACACACACACACACACACACACACACACACACACACACACACACACACACACACACACACACACACACACACACACACACACACACACACACACACACACACACACACACACACACACACACACACACACACACACACACAAGCAACCCTTCCTCTTTCCCCCGCACGTACATACATACACATGCACTGCACATGTTAGTATGCGTTTCTGCCTTTTTCTGTGATCCTTAGGAAAATGAGGGTGACTTATTAGTGTGTATTTCTGTGGACTTAATCCCGTGTTCGTGCCTAGGTTTTTGGCTGTGCAGTTTAGAGCTTTCGCATGCCTTTCGAACACTTTTTTCCTTCTTTTTTACGTTACTGTAGTTTTTTCTTGAAATTAAGAGCTACCCGCGCATGATTTATCATGAAGAGGATAACGAGAGGTCAAGTCATGCAACCTCATAATTGCAGGTAGAGTGCATGACGTCACACCTGAGCGAGATGTTTGCCGTTGCTTTGGTTGGCTGGATGTGGGCACGTGGCTCTCGGGTCCCCAGTGAATGAAAATAAATAAATAAATAGGTAAATAAATAAATATAAAAAGAATATTCTATTCTGGGTGGAAGGGGGAGTGTAGTGGGTCTTTCGAATGGAGTGAAATGGGCCGTGGGTGAAGGGGGTGACGTAGAAGCATGGAGAGATGGGTGGGCGGAGGAGTGGGAAGGGGGAGGTTGTAGGTGGATGGCATGATGGACGGAGGGTTGATGTGGATGGATAGATGGAGGGATGGGTGAAGGGGGTGAGGGGAGTAATGATAGGTGGATGGAGGGACGGATGGGGAAGAACAGGTAGTTCTAGATGGATGGAAAGACGGTATTTGCATAAATGACAGTGGCAGTATTGTTTGTGCGAAAAGAAAGATGGTAATGGTAATGATAAGAAAAGAGAATGAAAATTATGTGTTTGTTTTAGCAGTACAGGTCTAACATCTTTATTTCTTATTTCGGATCATCGGCCAGATTTCTCTAGATTTATCTCTCTCTCTCTTCCTCCCTCTCATTCTCCTTCCTCTTCCTCACTCCCTTAACCTCCTTCCCCCACCCCTCCCCATTCCCCTTTCTCTTTTCCTCCCTTTCGTCCCTTTGCCCAATTCTACTTTTTCGTATTTTCCTGCATACTTTAACTCACAAAGAAAGGAAAAGAAAATGGGGAAAAAATACGGGTGCAACATCTATAAATATCGAGATTCAATATTGAAATATCACACACTTCTCGAGGCTCATCTGCCCGCTGTTGCCTCGCCGGAGGGGCTGAGAGGGAGGAGGGCGGAGGAGCCGGAGGCGCGGGGGGGAAGAGGCTGGAACGTGGAAAGGGGAAGGTGGTTGGTGGAAGGAGGAAGGGAAAGGAGGAAGGAGGGAAATGGGTGGAAGGTGGAGGAGAGGGAGGGAGAGAGAAGGGGAGTGGAAGGAGGAAGGAGGGAAATGGTAGTGGAAGGTGGGAGGAGGGAGGAAGGAGAGAAGGGGGGAGTGGAAGGAGGGAAGGAGGGGAAAGGAAGGAGGAAGGAGAGAAGGGGGAAGTGGAAGGAGGAAGGAGGGAAGTGGTTGGTGGAAGGTGGAGGAAGGAAGGAGGACGGGAGGAAGTGGAAAGAGGAAGGAGAATGGTTTACGAAGAAAGGAGCAGATGGA